GAAATAGTTTAACTCAATTCATGAGAATTATATCATGAATGAAATATGAATGCTTTTTCATAAAGTAGCACCTATAGATGTTCCTTTATCAAGTAGCAGGCTCGCAGCAAGCTTTCTACCATCAAAGTCGACACTAACCTTCCTAACTGTTTCTGTCACCAATATTAGAAAGAAAAGAAATATTGCTTATATAATTTTTTTTAAAGGAATTTCTAATGCTTACGTCAATATTTCTTTTGTGTTTGCTTTGTTTGTAAATTGTTAAAGGGAGTTGCAAATTGAATATTTTATGATCAATACTACATGGACGGATTATATTTTCCAATCAATCAAATACGTTGAAAATTATAGGATTATATTTTATTCTTAATACGACAAGGACGGATAATATTTTCTTTGTTTTCTTTTGTGTTTTACACTTTTTATTTGCTATTGTCAATATTTTATGCTTGTGGACGGATTGTGTGATGGTTGAACTCTATCTCAGATTTCTTGGATTTTTCAATCAACCGAATGCGTTATTACACCCATCATTCTTTTATATTTGCTATAACCTTGAGTAGACTGCAAAACAATTAATTCCTTCTGTCAAGTATCCCGATTAATGCAGCCTCTCATGAATTTTGGATTTATAATATTAAGCGAAAGGTTATGCCTATACTCATGAGTTAGGTCAACTCTATTCTACTATCGATTGAAGATTGTTGAAGTGATTAATTCTAGGAAATTAGGCGGGGTTAGTCTTTCTCTCCAGAAAACTTCATTTCCAATCGATCAGGTTGATTTTGATTATGGGGCTTTCGAGATTAATATATATATATATATATATATATTAAAAAAAATATAAAAAAGGTACTAGAGCCCTAAGGAAGGCCAACAAGCAGTCCATACAGAGAAGGTTTCTATGTCCATACAGAGAAGGTTTCTATGTCTACCAGTTGTTAATATTGGAATTTGGAAGATGGTGCTTAATTAATGTACTCCTTTTATTTTTATTTATAAAAGAAACTATTACTTTTAACTTATTTTTATATAAACAAAATCATATTTTTCAATAGGCATTTATTACAAGCTTTCTAAATTACCCCTTATAATTTTATCATTTATAATCATAAGAAATAATTAACGAAGGCTTAATTAACACAATTAATAAAGGATATTATAACCCAGTTTTTTTATTTTTAGATACAGTTAATATAGTTAATTAATTTTCTTAAACTATGTGATACAATTTTTTCCCCTACAAATAAAAACAGAGGGAGTATATTTTTAGCAAGTAAAGCATCCTTCGATCCAGCATTTTCTGAATAAAAAGAATTTCCTATCCAAGGTTAGATAATAGCCTTTCTTAACATAATAACAACCAAAATAATTTCCATCAAATAATTTGGAGTTTCACTTACTTTTTCAAATTTGGATTAGGTAAGTGATGTAAATTTACTCACTTAATAAATGTCTCATGTGACACAAGAATAATCATTGGATTTAATTGATCAGCTATAAGAAATTTTGTTATATAATACTAAAAAATTACCAAATCTCAAATTTTTGGAGAGTATGAGAAGCATTTTGATATCATGCATGATGATTGTTTTGAATTTTTAGAGAAAAATTTATATTGATAAATTTTATTATTGATGAAATTCAATAACTATTTTTATAGTAATTGAATCAATGAATTTAGGTCATTCATCCAAAAAAGAAAAAGCACTAGTGTATTAATCATAAGGGCTGATAGATTAGATGAGAGATAACGGATGTTAACTGGATTCAAGTACATTGTCTTCTCACTTTTTTTTTGGGTTGGGGGGGGGGGGTGGGGGGATGGAATTTGTCTTTTCTAACTTTAAATCTGATGCAACAAGTGACCGAGTTTCCCCCCCCCCCCCCCTGTATCTTTGACTAATTAAATGTTAAGTTCTTTTATTTAAGAGGTTGCCATTTTACTATATCATCAATTTTAGATTGAACATATTTAATTCCAGCATCCCACATTTCATTTTTTTTGGTAAGTTATAAGGCCCTGTTTTTATACAAAATTAGAGATGAAACTGTATTTCTTTTTTTATGTATTTCTACTTTTAATACAAGTCAGTTTCCCGGCCAAAAATAAAAATTAAAGTCAATTGATCTATTCAATACTTAAAAGATAAATAAATTTTGGGTATTTTAAATAGGGGTAAATTAGCAACGTGGCCCCTAAAGTATAGTTCAGAAGTATTTAGGATTATAAACTCATCTTTTGTGTAATATTAAATTTTTTAAGTCTTTTTTTTTTAGCATTTTATAGTCAAGTAATAGTTAAAGTTAACTTTTTTTAATAACAAGGGTTAGATTTTTAAAAGTTGAAAAGTAATATTGTCTAAAAAATAAAGGAAAAATGATAGAAAAATTTATTTAAATTATCTAAATGACATATTGGTAGATAAAGGGAAAATAAAAGAAAAATCCATTTCAATTATCTAAATAACAATTGGTCCTGTAAAATGACATAATTCCCTTGAAGTCCCATGAGATTTTTCTGTCATTATGAAATTAAAGGAAATGATGAAATTGGCCTCAAATAAAACAAAAATTCCCAACCTCAATGCAAAGTAATCGGCGTGCGTTCTTCTGCTTCATTGTCATGCCAATTTGGGGAAGGTGGTCTTTGTCGGGGATAGTACGGGTGCTAGCATTGCACACCACATGGCGATTCGGGTTGGTTTAGAAAAACCATCAAAGCTGATGCTAGAAGCTTTAATTTTGGTGTAGCCTTTTTTCTGGGGCGAGGAACAAACAGAGTCCAAATGGAATCAAGCCACATATGCAACAAAGTTGGATTGTCTATGGAAGTTTCTCTATTTGAACGCATTAGGGGGCAATGATTTGTTGGCTATCTTGGAGAAGGATCCAAACTTGGGAAAGCTAGACTGTAAGAGAGTGCTAGTATGCATTGCAGAGGAAGATTTGAGAGGGACAGAGACTTGAATTACAAAAGATTGCTAGAGAAGAATGGATTTTTGGGAGATGTGGACGTGTTAGAGATGAAAGCGAAAAACCATGTGTTCCATTTATTGAAGCCATGCTGATTTAGTCAATTTATAAAGGATACTAATAAATTACAATTCCTTATTGCATTGTTGTGAATTTAGGGACAAAAGTTGTTAATATAAAAATAAAAGTTGTGAATGAAAAGTTATGAATTTTCAACACCTGATGCATATTAAGATTTGCAGATGTGGAGTTGCGAATAGCTATTGAATTATTGTAAATTTAGAAATAAAAGTTGTGAATATAGGGACAAAAGTTGTGAATGAAAAGTTGTGAATTTTTAACACTTAATGCATATTAAGACCTAAAGATGCAGAGTTACGAATGGCTATTAAATTGTTGCGAATTTAAAAATAAAAGTTGTTAATAAGAATAAAAGTTGTGAATGAAAAGTTGTGAATTTTCAATACTCAATGCATATCAGGACCTACTAATTAGGATTTGCAAACGGCTATTAAATTGTTGTGAATTTAGAAACAAAAGTTATTAATATAAGAATAAAAGTTCTGATTGAAAAATTGTAAATTTTTTTAATTTGAATTAATGGCAAAAGGGTTATTTCTTATAATTCCCTAATGACAGAAATATTCCTTGAGACTCTGGGGAATTATGTCATTTTGTAGGACTAATTTATCATTTAGATAATTTAAAGGGATTTTATGTCATTTTTTTAAAGATAAATTTATGATATCAAACATTTCTAAACTAATAGTTTAGGAATCAATTTTCATATTTACCCTTTAAATAATGCAGATTTTTTGAAATTATAAAAACAAAGAATGTTTTAGGTAAAAGTAACAAAATTTACCATCAGCCACCTAGATCAACTATATATGATTAAGAAGTTGGTCAAGCTTAGTCGAAAATCTTGAGTTCGAGCTATGGGTATATAATAGTGATCAAATTTTTGGTTGAAAGTATACCTCCAAGAAATGCTCATAAGGTGCCGATTGAATTAAATCTAGGTCAAAGACCTAGATATTGCACCAAAAGCCAAAAAATACAAAAAAAACACAAAAAAAAAAAAAATTTATTTGTCGTTAGTTATAGAATTGCCGATGATATGAAATTTATTTTTTACGGATCAAATTGTATCTTTTGTGCATTGGGCGCCAGATCAATCAATAAAGAAGAAAATTTAGGTCCATTATGATCCAACTATGCAATAAAAAAATTTACTCATGATTTTTTTTAATCTATACTTATAACTCATGATTCTGGCATAAACACCATTTTTTAACAACTCATGTGATGCCATCTGTCAAGTTCTTATTGGATAACTGGATGTAATAACCCTAAACAATTGTACGTAATTTTTCAGTATAAATAAATTATATATTTTTGTTAATTATCATTTTTGTGGATATTTAGGGCCTCTCTTAAGATTCAAAGAATCTGATTATGACTTTCATGAATTATTCTTGTATTTTTCCCGGTTCATGAATCAAGTTATTAAGTGTATAAACAGTCACATGTACCGAATAAATTAACATTCATTGGCTTTAAGAAATGTAAATTATAATTTTAATAAAGATATAAAATCTATATTAGCATTTAATGATTTTGGAGCCTATAAGTAGAGGCTCTCCTTAAAGGCTTACAGACACATGAATAAAGTAAATGAAAAGATCCCTCCCAGGCTTCCTCTCCAAAATTTGTTGTGAGATCGCTTGATTCAACCCAGTGGAACGAGGCAGGCCAAGTAGAGCATCTTCACCACCAAGTCACAACTCGAAAGGCCCTCTCCAAAATTTGTTAGCGTTCGTGTCATGTTGTGCATTTTTCTTTTTATTTGTTTTACCATATAATTTTTTCGTTGTAAAATTATACCTTTTTTTCCTTTGGTAATAGAAGCCAGACTATCAGATTCACAGATCTGATTGAAGAACAACCTTCCAATATCAACAAAAGTGGGGGTGGTGCCCTAATAGTCGTTCTAAAATCTCTATTCAGAAATTCTTTTTCCAATGGCAGACATTGTGGAGAATCCAGAAAAGAAAGCTGATAGACCCCCTCTTCCCCGACATATCATTGTTAACATTCTCAAAAGACTTCCAGTAAAATCCCTAATTCAATTTCAAAGCGTGTGCAAAGATTGGAAAAATCTCATCAAGTCTCAGTCTTTCATAGAAATCCACCTCCACCATTCCAGCCATCAAAACTCTTCACTTATCCTCGGATGGCAACATTCCAGGTCCTTTCAAATGCAGGTTGGTTTGCTGAATCACAACGTGCAACTCCTAGAAGTTCAAACCTCTCCTTTGATCAACTGGATATTTGCTAAGATCTTTGGTTCTAGCAATGGATTGCTCTGTGTTCGAATTGCTGGGGACAATGTGGGTCCTCGTCCTATTTTATTGTGGAATCCAGCGATAAGAGATCAAGTGAGAAAGGTGCGTGTGCGTCCTAGAACTAGTATTGATTCTGAGGGTGAAGATTACATTTTAGGATTTGGGTTCAGTCCAGTTGATAATGATTACAAGATAGTGAGAATTAAGATTCCTAACTATCAACTTGTGGTTAGCCCAATGGAAGTGTATTCACTAAACTCTGGGTCATGGAAGGAAGTAGAATTTGTAAACTCAAAAGGTATGACTATTAGGTGTTTAAGAAATGTCACTGTTAATGGAGTCATGTTTTGGATTGGTGGAAAGCAGGAGGTGAATGATGATTATACTCTACTTTCATTTGACCTGTCAAAGGAAGAGTGGACAATGATACCAATGCCTGATTTAAGCATTTGTGATAAGAAAAAGCTTGTTGTGTATGAGAACAAACTTGCTGTGGCTACTGGCATTGTTGGGGAGGATAAATCTTATTTGATTCATTTGTGGGTGATGGAGGAGGATGCATGTGGGGTGGGATGGATTTGGACTAAAATATTTACTAGCAGACCCTGTCCATACATGTTTGATCCATTGACTATTTGGAGGAATGAGATTGTCTTTAAGCCTTTTAATCAAATTCAGAATGATGTTCCAGGATCAATTTTATATCTGCTCAATCTTACAACCAATAAGTTTCAGAGGGTTGCTCTTAGATCTTCCTCTTTCAATAGAATCAACATTGAAGTTTTCAATTATGTGGAAAGCCTTGTATCAGTTGGCAACAACATCAACGGTGAAGGGCTTTGATCTTGGTGAATATGAATATGGGTTGTTGCATTGCGAGTTTACTCTATGTAAACACTTCGTGGAATTGAAATGTATCCAATATAATAACTTTTATTATTATTTATTTACAGTTGCAGAATCCTTCTTGCAAAGTTATGTGGAATGGTAATTTATATGAACCTGATTTGGTAATCTTTCTTCTTCTACAATCTCTTTGATATTCAATGTTAATCAATCAATTCTTACTATTTTTTAGACACTAGAGAGGAATTAATTAATTGGTTAATAAATAATTGCATTGCTCACTGGATTGGTTAACATTGCAACAAGATGGTATGTAACCAATGTATAAAATTCCAAATAAATCACCTTCTCTGATTTCAGATTCAGGTAATAATGGCCTTTCTTTACACAATAACAACGAGAATAAGTTTTGTACGATAATCTAGACTTTCACGTACTTTATCGATTTGCAAAATATTCCAAGTGACAGTGGCGTAGTAGTTTTAAACAAATTAAAGAGCAAGTCCGATTGCCAATATTCCAAGTGAAGAAATGCTCAGCTAGGCAAAGCTTTTGTGATGTAATTAAAAAAAGTAGGGATTAACATTATAACTATAGATTTGGTCCAAAAAATGGAAGGAAATAAACATTGTATCCAAACAAAATCGCATGATAAGGACTAATTACAAATTGGTGGCAAAAAAAAAAAACGATTAATCTACAAATTGGTACAAATTAATTATATAAAGAAAGGGCTGATAGATTTTTTATCCCTCCTAATTGTTCTTGTCCTCAACCTATATAATGGTATTTTCTACCATATGTGAGGTAACGAGGGAGATTTAAGTGTATTGTTCTCGCACGGATACGCCAAGCTAAGCAAGCGAGTTTTTTTGTTAATTAAAGCATTTTGAGTTTTCTTACTTGAGAAGATGTGATTGGCCAAAAAAGAAGAGATGTATAATTGGAAAATGATTTTTATCAACTTATTCTTTTTAATTCATTATAACTTGATATGAAAAATATCACATAATAAATAATAGATCATATATTTTAATTTTTCCACTGTGAAATTGTGTCTCTAGAATAAATAAGTCTTTTGCCTAATAGCCATATTATGGACGTGCTCTTTTCTTCTCAAATTCCTTGTCCAATGGCGGCCACTGTGGAGAAGCCGCTAACGATGTACGTACCCTTTATTCTTGAGGATATCATGGCTTAGATTTTCAAAAGACTTCCGATAAGATATTGATAATCCATAGAAATTTATGTAATCTTAGCACATTTTTCTACAATTTCATATATTTTTTAATGATGTTGTGGATATTTTTGACACATGTAATAGGAAAATGTGAATATCTTATACTTGAACTTGAATGAAAAAAAATTGGTCTAAAATATGCATAACTTTTATCTTGGTTAAGATTAAACTTGGACCTTACAAAGTTATTTTTGTCTTCTTAGATTGTTAGAGGATTACTTAAGAAGCAAAGAGAAGGAGTTAAGAAGTCACTGCACCAAGAAAAAGACAAGACAAAGAGTGAAAAATTAAGCTTCAATCAAATCACTTTCAACCTAAGTCAACAAGAGACAAAGAGAATTAAGTCTCAGTCAACAAACCTTCAACCTCAACCAAAAATCAGAAGAAGAACTTGTGGCACAGCCAAAGGGTATTTACAAAACTCTGCATTTTAGAATCAAATAAACTAAAACTAAGGTTACATATATGAAATTCTCATACTTCCAAAGTCATTATGATTTCCAAAAGGTTCTTGGGGGCAAGCTCTGCTAGGGTTTTGGATCTTCAAAGGAGATTAGGCCCAGGATTGAATATTTGAAGAGATTTAAGTGCATTTTTTTCTATTTCTTCCCCCTTTTCTCTCATTTTTGCTAATATGGATGCTGCTTATTTTGTTATTTTTGCTCCTTTCTAGACATGATGGCTCATAAACTTGATCTAGATTATTTCAAACCTTTGAATAAAGTAAAATTTAATTATTCCTCTATTTTGATAGCTAATGATATATTTTATTTATTTTATCTCTTGTTTAGTGCTTTTAACTGTTTGATCACCATTCAGATTGTTGTATTTACTTAGGTTATGTTTAAGAAAGCTAACTTAGGTATATAACTGTTGTATGTGTGTCAAAAGTGTGTGTGTGTGTCAAAGTCCCACATTGACTAAAGGAAGGAATCTCCTAGTGTATATATACTAAGAAATGAAGTGGGCTAGTAAAATGGGCTTGGAGGAGAAGTGGCCTCGCACACATGAGACAGGCCAACTCAGGGCAATCGCAATTGAAATCATTTACAAAAAATGGTTAAATAAATAATTATTTTTGCTTACCCGAAAAACCTCTGATTTAGCAGTTTTCAAGTTGAACTTGAGGCATTGGCAGTTTTTTGGAAACCGAATTCTGTGCGTTAATGTTTTATCTGCCAAACGTCTCCAAATTGAACGCTGAATGTTTTCGGATTAATGGACGTGCACGTTTCTGCTGTTTAAGGCATGTAACTGAAGCATTAATCCATGAACGTTCGTTGTTTAATGTATGTATAACCGAAGCATTAACCGGTAATTATAACCCAACGTTTGTGTCTCATTCCTCAGCCTATAAATAGACACGGATGCGGACAGAACAGATAGCAAGCGTTCTCGTCCTCTCCTCCGTCTGATCTTCTGTTCGTCTGTTCTCGTTTATAGTCTCCGCTGTTCTGTTCCCTTACTCCGTCGCAGGAAGTGCTCGTTTAATCCTGGGGGACTGCCGGTCCATTGTCCAGGTGTACCGAAATAGTTTTTAAGGACAGTGTTCTTCCCGACACGACTCGAGCAATCAGTAGCTCACTGTTCGCCTCTGTATCTGCTGTTTTACAACAATAACTTGGGTAAAATGGTGTTGAACTTAAAATTTACAAAGTTAAATATATAGTTTAATTTAATTAGTAAAGTAGAGCTATTTTACTAACCCTTCATAGTCAAATTAAGATTGAAGTTTCAAATTTGTTTTCATTAATTATTTTTTAAGAGGTTGAGAATTTTTAATGTTAGAAAAAGTACTTGATTTTGTCTTGAAAAATATTTTTAAAGTAAATTAGAGTCTTAGACTAATATTTATTTCCATTAAAAATCATTTTGAGGGGCATTAATTTAAGTTTTATGAAATACAAAGAGAAAATATCATCCTAGGTTCTATTTTTTTGAAGTCAAAGTTTCAACAAATTTTATTTGCTCTAAGACACTTTTCACTTAAATTTTCTTTATTTTTAAACAAACTTCATGTTTGATTTTGCTGAACCTAATTCAAAATTAAATAGTGAATGATATATATCTTTGGAAAACTTTACTACAATCTGTGTGCTTCCAAAACTCTACCGAAAACCTAATTCCTCGCTGAAAAACCTTCGTCTTTCATCCAAGACCACCTTCACCACTCGAGCTATCCAAAACCTTCACTTTTTCTCGTACAATTCCATCGCAGTCTCCCTAATTTGTAGTTAATGAATATTTTCTGCTGAGATTTACTGAACTTTACAATTTGTTGATTTTGAATGTAATCCTTCTGTATATGCTTTAAACAAAACTGGGTTATATTATCAGTTTGAATAAACATCCCAATATCCCCAAAATCAGTAGCAATCTCTTAAGCCCTCTTCGCTGCCTCCATCAGCTTCTGCAAACTCTCCATGGAAGGCCTCTTGCGCATCTGAAAAATCGAGAATCAAACTTTAAAATTTAATATGTTATTTTTATATTGTTATTTCAAATTAAAACTCAAAAACGGAAAACCAGTCAATCATATTACTTTAATTTGTAACTGACCCCGATCAATACCTTTTTTAAAACAGAAAACTGCAACTAAAATAATTAAAATCAAATGAAATTTAAATTTCCAAATGTAATGATTCTACATAATATTTAAATGGTAATGATTTGAATGACAGATATTAATTGATATGGGATGATGTGCAAAATCTCTTGGCCAGATGCACACATAAATTATATAGCCAATGCATATATAAGGAAAAGATAGAAGTATCTCCTGCATCGCTGCAAATAATCCCTATACGCATTAATTTTAACAAATAAATCCTGAATTATCATGGCACTTTTGATATTTTAATACGTTAATTTGACATAAAAAATTAATAATTTAATGCGTTATTCTGATATTTTTATTTCAAAACTCGAAAACGGAAAACCCATCAATTGTTAAATCATATTAGTTTCGATTAATAATATTTTTTTGGAAAAAAAAATCAACTAAAATAATCAAAGTAAAATGAAATTCAAATTTCCAAATGTAATGATTCTACATAATCTTGATAGGGAATGATGTGCAAAATCTTGGCGAGACTCACAGAAATTATATAGCCAATACATATATACGGTATAGATGTCATTGGCCAAAAAAGGGCAGAGTTGCATATTTAGAAAAGTGTTTAATTCATTAAAAATTGATATGACAATTATCAAGATTATATATTTTTTCCATTGTGAAGTTATATCTCTTGAATAAATAAGAGTCCTTTTGCCCTAATAAGTAATAATCGCGTTAGGAACCCTCTTCTCCTCTGATATTCCTTCTCCAAATGGCGGACACTGTGATGAAGCCGCCGACAAAAGCCGACGTACCCTTTCTTCCCAGCGAAATCATGGCTGAAATTTTCAAAAGACTTCCGGTAAGATTCCTCACTCAATTTCAATGCGTTTGCAAAGACTGGAAAATTCTCATAAAAAATCTCTTCAAGACTCCGTCTTTCATCCAAGACCACCTCCACCACTCTGGCAATCGAAACCCATCACTTCTCCTCGAACAGTACCATCGCCGTATCCGTGGCATTCGCCTTAGTGTACTGGACTATGATAAGCAAGTTCATAAAGTTCAAGAATCACTCTTGACCAACTTGCGGTTCAATGTTGATATTGTGGGTTCCAGCAATGGCTTGGTCTGTGGTAAAATAATATTTAAAAGTACTATATATCATCATCCCCTTTTAGTGTGGAATCCAATGACTAGAGAGGCTAGGAAGGTGCTTCCCAAAACCATTATTAATTCTGAGCTTGTTGACTTTGTAGGATTTGGATTCAGTCCTCTTGATAATGATTACAAGATAGTGAGAATTATTGTAGATGATTCTAGTGTGATTAAACCAATTGAAGTGTATTCATTGAAGTGTGGGTCATGGAAGAAAATAGAATTTGGAAACTTATTAAAAGGCATAAGGATGACTTCTAAAAATGTCACAGTTAATGGAGTTATGTTTTGGTTTGCTAGATGGTACGATGACATCGATACAATACTTTTAGTTGACCTATCAAAGGAAGTGTGTACATACATAAGTTCAATGCCTTATATAAACTACTTTTCTCCTAGAAGACTTGTTAAGTATGAGAACAAACTTGCTGTGATTGCAAACAATATTGAAGGAATAGATCAATCTAATCGGATACATTTGTGGGTGATGGAGGAGGATCGTCAATGTGCATCGAAGGATGATTCGGAGAGATGGAGGTGGACTAAGATATATACTAGCGAGCCCTATCAATCCAAGTGTAAGGACTTAAATCCTGTGACTATTTGGGGGAATGAGATTGTCTTGTTACCTTATGATCAGGTTGAGAATCGTGATGGCAAAACAACAACTTTATATTTGCTTAATCTCATTACTAATGAGTTTAAGAAGATTGCTGCAAGAGCATACACTTACAACTATTACCAAACAAGGAAACGAAGACCTTTCTATTACAATGGAAAGAACATTGAAATTGATATTTTTAATTACGTGGAGAGCCTTGTATCAGTCGGTAACATCAACATTGAAGAACATGGATCTTGAATTTTATTATTGATTTCATTGCATTATTGTAGGTTTACTTGAACGTACTTCTAGTGGAAATGAATGCATATTTAGCTTATATCATTATATTTTGAAAGCCTTCTTGCAATATGTGGAATGATAATTTATATGAACCTTATTTGGTTATATATCTTTTCTTCTACAATTATATAGTTAATAGTTAAATTCTCGGCTGATATTCACTAAACTTTACAATTTGTTGATTTTGCATATAATCCTTCTGTATTTGCTTTAAACAAAACTTGGGTATATTATCAGTTTGAATAAACATCCCATCCCAATATCCACAAAATCAGCATCAATCTCTTAAGTCCTCGCTGCCTCCATCAGATTCTGCTAAACTCTTCAAAGAATCTCCCGCGCATCTCTGCAACTAATTCCTAAAACAATTAATTTAAATAAACAAATCCTGAATTATCAAAACATTTTTGATGTTTTTAATACGTTGATTTGACATTAAAAAAATTATTACGTTATTTTGATATTTTCATTTCAAATTAAAACTCTAAATCGGAAAGCCAGTCATTCATATTACTTTGCAACTGATTTCGGTCAATAGTTAAAAAAACTGCAACTAAAATAATCAAAGCCAAATGCAATGGAGCCAAAAGTGCAGGATATTAGAACTCAAGTTCTAGTAATAATCCATCAAGAACAATCAAAATAAACATCCTACTCTAACAATGTATTTCATAATATTCATGTTGAATCCACCCAGAAAGCACCCAAATCATTTACATATTAGTCAATCAACATGTGTACCATTCATTCCATAGCATGAGAAAACTATTAAAAACAGCATCATCAAGGGATTGACATTAGCTTAAAGATCAATGAGTCAGAAAAACAAAAGACTGATAAAGATTTTGGCTTCTTGGAACATTCAAAACTTGGTGGCTCAGATTTCTTCTTTGATTCCCAGAAAGTGCTTAAGATTCCCTCATTCTCTCCACAAACATTAACGATATTGCTGTATCTGAACTCTTCATCTCATCTTCAATTCTTGATAATACTTATTCTTCATATACACGCTTTTCTTGCTTGGGGACAATGATCAGATGCCACTTCTGTAAAATGTTTTATTGTATTTAAATTTCATGAAAAAACTTAACTTGATTATTTACTATTTCCATAATTTAATAATATGCATGGTTGTAAATCAAAACGTATAAAATAAATTATGTAAACGTATAATAATAGTAATAGTAATGATAATGTTAGTAGTAAGGTTTGAGGAGAGATGCTTAGGTTAAGTCTCCGATTGTACGCGAACAAGATTATCTCTAGTAAGAATATATTTGTGAGAAATTAGCAATAACAATAATGATAGTAATGGTAATAATAATAGGGATAGTAATTAGTAATAACAATAATAATGGGAATGGTAATAATAATAAGGATATGTTTGGAATTTTAGTATGAAGAAAATTAAACAAGGAGCAATGGGTTTTTAATTACAACGAACCAAGGTACTTGAAAAGAATCTCATTTGATATTCCTAAGCCCCGATGAAATCAATTAAATTCAATATATTTCTGTTGAAGATCATTTAAACATATTTTAATCCAACATATATGTGTTTCTCAAAAGATTTCTTGAAGTCAATTAATTAGCAGATTTTAATTATCTCATCCTTTATATACGATCATAGCTTATGGTTTCATATTTAGAGCATGATTGGAATATCATCATGTATTAAAGACCAAGTATTGTGAACATGACTGATGCACAAATATTATTCAAATCTACCTCTCTCACATGAAAGCAAGAAACTCAAATTTGTTTCACTAATACTTTTCTTACCTCCCACACAATAATAAATAAAGTCATCATTGGTATAATACATGGACATGTACCAAATAATCCATACACTAGCAATTTGAAATTATATACACATCTGTATGTAAAAAAATAATAATAATTGAACAACCTCAAGGATCAATATCATTAATAAGATCAAATAAAGGAACAAATGTCTACATAAAGGGTATCAAGAAACTTATTGCAACATAATGTTTAATATTTACAAACTACCTTCAATATGAAGGTTCTCAATCGATATAAGACTTTCGACATGATTGAAAATACGACAGAGATCATAATATTTAGGGATAGGAAACTCCCTAAGCTCATTGGTAGTGAGATTGAACAAATATATACTAGTTATTGTTTTAATCGGGTATTCAATCCTTCGAGGTCTGAAGACGATTTCATTCTTCCAAATAGCCATTGGATATAAGTTGCATGAATAGGGGCAACCAGTATACTTCTTAGTCCAATTCCATTTCTCCCTAGATGCACTCGCACCCTCCTCCAGCACCCACAATTCAACACAGTATTGTGTAGTCATACAATCACAAAGCAGGGCAAGTTTGTTGTCAAACAGAGAGAGTTCATAATTGTTATTAAATCCTGAAAGAGGTATTGGTATAAATGTAAATACTTCCGTTTCAATATCAAACGAAACTATCAATGTAGGATCATAACCATCATGATTTTCTACATCCATCTTATACCACATCCAATATAGAGCTCCATTGACACTAATTGCATTAGAACCACGCATTATCCCCTCTAAATTTCCAAACTCTATTTCTTTCCATGACCCTGAGCATAACGAATATACTTGCACACGATTCACCACATCATATTTCACATAAATTATCACTATCTTGTAATCATTAAGTAATGGATTGAACCCAAATCCTATACAGTAATGACTAGTTGTGTCCAGCGGTTTGATTGTGTTCACCTGTTTGAACTCTCTAATAGCTGGATTCCACAATAAAAAGCAACGGGGGAATAAATCACACCCGTAGATTTCAACACAAAACAAGCCATTGCTGGAATCAAGGATCCGAGCATATGTACAGGAATCAAGGAAAGGTGCCTTTTGATGAACTTGAAGGGTTTGCAATTGCAAATCATGATCCAGCAAACCAAAGCGATACAGATCATTGGAGAGAGATTCGTTTCGGCCAAGTCGTCGAGGATATTGGTTAGGTCTCCATTGAAGCACGAGAGGAGGGTTTGGATGGTGGGTGGAGTGGCGGAGGTGTTCTTTGATGAAAAACTGAGTCTTGAATAGATTTTTCCAATCTTTGCATACACATTGAAATCGGAGCAGAGATTTTACAGGGAGTCTCTTGAGAATGTCAATGATGATATCTTGGGGAAGAGAGGCTATTTTATCTTTCATCGCCATGCTCGCCGTTGGGAATTAAGGAGTTGCAAAGAAAGCAACTTGGCAATCGATCAATGTTAGGGTTTACATACGTAGTCGAAAGACACTAAGATGATCGCGTGCTTTTAATGGGCCACAGGAGATCTAAAATTTCGGATATTATAAGGTCAAGGTTTAATTATAAGAAATGTTTTATTCATAATTTAACTTTTAACATCATCTTATATATGTATGTATGTATGTATGTATATGCATATTAAATGATAGATGTATTGTTTGGGCTATTATATATGAATATGCTTGTGTTCAACCAAATTAAAGCATGTGAATTTTTGATACATTATTTATTCTATAATAAACTTTCTTTATTTGTATTATTAAAAATTTTAAAATTCACTTATTTTGATTTGTTTAAACAAAAAATATATTTAGTATTAAGATTATGCTCTTTGCTAAACGTTGGGCAAGTGAGGTAGTGCTTTTTATTGTGTTTGTTTTTCTTTTGTTTAGTTTGTTTCATTCGTTTTTCCTCTTGTATTAAAAAAGGAGATTAATAAAAACGTTATAACTAAAGAATACCACAGGAAATTCCAGATAATTGCCTTCTGATGCCAGAATCAGATAATAGTATCCTTCCCAAAAAAAAAATTGTCTCTCTAGTTGCATATACTTTTATCATGCAAAATTATTAAGTTATTTAATTGCTTATACTGGTCAATTGCCACCAATAATAGTTAGACAAATTAGGGGTCGGTTTATTTAAGACTGAAAAATAAGTAATTTTTTAGATATTTTTAAAGATTTTGCAAAAAGAGATTTATTTTGTAAAGATTTCATAAAAAAGTAGTTATTACTTTATGTTTAGTTGCAATAATAAAAAATTAATTATTAGTTAGTTATTTTTAAATTTTATTATATCTATTTTTATTTTTATATTATTTTAAAATTTTATAATATTTTTGCTTATCTCACTTTTTTAAAACATTTTCTTTCATCTATTACATTAAATTATTTTCAGAAATTATTTAAAGTAACTTCTTAAAATGATAAAAAATCATCTTTTTTATTTTGATTATTTTTAGAAATTTTAAAAAATATAATAAAAAATCTCAAAATAATTTTTTCCAAAAAATAAGCGTTCTTTTTCATGAAATAAGCTAGAATAAACAGCCCTAAAGTAAGTCCAATAAATTCTAAGATTCCCAGCCAAGACATACTCAACTAAGCAAGCTTTTGCATTGTAATTAATTAAAAAAACACTGACAAGATTATCAATTATTATGACTTTCAATAACTTAAATGTTATAAATAAATAAATCCTGAATTATCGAGGCAGTTGTGATATTTTGATTCGTTAATTTGACATAAAAAACTAATATTTCAATACTTTATTTTGATTTATTTAATTTTAAAAGTAAAAAAGCCCATCAATCATGTTACTGTAATTGCAAGTAAGTAACTGGCTTTGATCAATCAATTTTAAAAAACTCCAATCAAGATAATCGAAGTCGAATGAAATTTAAATTTCAAAATATAAAGATTCTAGCTAATATATTAAATGATAACGTACGATGTTAATGTTAAAAATTTTAATTTGATATATAATGTTGAAAATTTGATACATAATTTCAATTGATAAGGATCGGGAGTGCAAAATCATGGCAAGATGATATATTATTTTTATTATTATTATTTTGAATTAGAGGGGCAAGTACTAATTGCTTGAGGTTACAAGTGAAATCAAACCCGTATCCTCCCACTTATTAGGAAATGTATATGTCACTAAGTTATAAGACTACTGACTAAGATCATATATGTTTAGAAATCATATTGCAATACAAGTGTATCTTATATCATGTAAATTGCTGAGACATTATAAGAAAAATGAGTATAGTTGGAAAAAATTGCTAATAATAAATTTACCCTTATGATTGGTATTGTACTTGAGGATTAAAGGATCATTTGGTCCTCTATCACATTTTTTACTCCAAGGAAAAGTTTTACTAGCAATTTTTCCTATTTTATAATTTGGGCTGGTCATCTAAATTTGCAATTGATAAATTAAAATAAAACAAAACGCCAAAATTGCTTTGATTATATTTTCTTATTTTACTTTAGATTTCATGAAAGAGCACTTTTAACACCATTTTTCCGTTGGAAAAAAAAAAACTATTTTCCGTGCAGGCACTTTCTTACATGAGTAATCATTCCTCCATCCTCCGTAAGTTTTTTTTTTTTTTTTAAGTTGCCAAATTCCTCCACCAGTTTAAGAGTTTAACCATGCGACTTAGTCACAATCTTCACAAGTTTTTAAGGTCTAACTCACCAAAATTTTAATATAGCCAAAAATCATTTCAATATAAAAAATATTTAATTACTATTTAATCACATGAAATCCCCTTCTTTTCAACGCTTGCTTTATTTCTCTTCATACACTCATTAAAATTACCCAACAGAACAGAAAGTGTTCAACCCAAAGGAAATGACACATAAACTAAGCCCAATTCACACATATACCGTGTCACGCACAGGACATGCACAAAACAGACCACAAAATGACAATTCCAAAGGGACCTAAACATATGAAGAATTATGGATACGGGCTTCAAGCGGATTGTTTTGGTGAATCAAGACACTTGTGAATTCACTTAATGGGCTATCACTAGACTTTAGTTGCAACTCTGTCCAGATGAAGATTTATGCATGAGGATACAAACAAGAGAGAATTATGATTAGGTCCTATACAAAAAAATTAATTACTGTAAAGTTCATTAACAATTAAATTAAACTACATTTATTTAATTCTCTTGTGGGATTTTAATATCATTCTTCCTACAAACAAACTAACAACCCGATCCTTTGTCTCATCCATTTCATTCAATTGAGTGCCCATTTGAATTCTAAACCCTTACATTCGGGCTAGTGGTCTCTAATGTGTCCTTCTCTAATGCTCCTTATAATGTCCTAACTTTCCAATTTTGTTTTTTATTTTTTCTTTGGATCATTGGCTTCTATATAAAATAAGAGACATTTAAATATCTTGATGTCTCAAAATGATAAAGATTTTTATTTTTTATGATTTGTTAAAAATAAAAGGGTGTATTTGTAATATTTTTCTTTAAAAATTATAAAAAATATAAATCTTCATCATTTTAGAACATCAAAATATTTAAATGTCTCTTATTTTACGTAGAAACCAATAATCTAAAAAAAATAAAAAATAAAATTAAAAAATTGAGACATTTATAACGAGTATTAAAGAATGACACGTTAGGTCCCTAATCCCTTACATTCCAATGCTGTGGTGGTGTCCAATCTTGATTGAGAACAGGCGCTCTCTCGTGAAATTTTTTGTTCAATGGCTAGCAAGCATCTGGTAATGGAGGCCGACAGGCGATTTCATCCCCCACGATATCATTGTTAAATTTCTCAAAGACTTCCGGTGAAATCCCTAGCCCGGTTGCAATGCGTGTGCAAAGATTGGGAAAAACCTCGTCCAGACTCCGTTTTTCATCCAAGCCCACCTCCACCACTCCAGCCATGACAGCCCTTCACTTCTCCTCGAAGGATACCATCCCAGATTCTGTGATATGCGTGTTAGTTTACTGGATTGCGACATGCAAGTCCTTGAAGTTCAAAATTCACCTTCGACAGATTCCTCTTTCGATATTAACCGGATCGTGGGTTCCAGCAATGGCTTGGTCTGTGTTAAAATGTCTGAGAGTGGTATGTCTCCTCCTTCCCTTTCGTTGTGGAATCCAGCGATTAGACAGGTTAGAAAGGTGACGAGAACTATGAATGATTTTGAGGGCGGCGATTGGCGTTTGGGATTTGGGTTCAGTCCAATTGATAATGATTGCAAGATAGTGAGAATTTATGTTTCTGAGTTTTATGCTGTTGTTAATCCCGTGGAAGTGTATTCATTAAGATCTGGGTCATGGAAGGGAGTAGAGATTGGGAACTCAGAAGAGGCTTACACATTGTTGGTGTTAGAAACGTCACTGTCAATGGAGCTATGTTTTGGTTTGGGTATGATGAAGGTGGTGGTGGTGTGATAGTTTCATTTGACCTAGCAACGGAAGAGTTTACATTGATACCGTTTCCTCCTTTAGAGTATTGGGAAAATGAAAGGCTGATTGTGTATGATAATAAACTTGCTATCGTCTCTGCAATTTTTGGGGAGGATGCATCTTATTCAATTCATTTGTGGGTGATGGAGGAGGTTATGTCTGCCGTTGGGAGGAGTTGGAATTAGACTAGAATATATAGTAGCAGCCCCTGTCCACGCTAATTAGATCCAGTGACTATTTGGATGAGAAATTGTTTGCAAGGTTCCTTTTAAGTTTGAGGATGTTGGGACACAAAGTTTATATTTGCACAATCTCACTGCCAATGAGTTCAGGAATAAACGATCCATAGCTGTGGCCCCATTGATGGAATTTTCAATTATGTGGAAAGCCTTGTACCGGTTGATGACATCCACATTGAAGAGCCATAATCCTAAATTTTAATCATGACATTGCAGGTTTAGTATATTTAAGTACTCTCGGTGGGTATGAGTTCTTAATAGTTTAGATTGTTATTTATACCTGTAGTTGTTGGATCCCTTTTTGTGAAGTTATGTTGAATGATGAATGTAGATCTACAAGTAATAGACGTGTCTAGCTTTATTTGACTATTTATAATATCAGGATTCTGCTCTTTATTTCAGAGACGGATCCATACTATAACTTTGTTTCTGGTTTATGGTATTTCTGAGATTTCAAAGGTGGATGCATGGGATGTCTTATAGGGGGAAAACTAAAGTATGTGAAGCTAATTTTGAGTTTCTCGTTTTTATTCCTTTTTTATTTATTTTTTTTTTTGGTTGGGTTTTGGAAGTAGTTTTCTGCCTTACAATCACAAGGCGTGTTATCTCTGGATTACTGTTGGATTTGAATTGTGTTGGCTTAGAGTTTTTTATGAAGTAATTCCAATAAGACTCAAAGGATCTACCCTTGTTTCATGATTGGATTGAGAATGGGATTAAAATCAATTATGGGCTGTGAAGCAAAGATTTCAGGGGAGAAAGACATTATTGGATTAAAAATGGTTAAATTTTCTGCAGAAACATGTTGAATTCAATCTCCATTCTGACTATGGAACTGAACATCTAATGAAACTTGTGCAAGTACTTTTTTTAGTTCTTACACCGCAGTAGCTAAAATCTGATGGCAGATTCTTATTTTGAACTCTACAATTTCAGATAGGTTTGAAATGATTATATGTTAAGAGGGTAGGAGTGCATCATAAAAGGACATGTTTTCTCTATAGGACTTTGGCATGGAACAAGAAAATAGTTCATGACATAAGGAGATAAACATGCTCTTCCGGTGAGCACATATTTTGTCTATGAAATTGTGAAAGGTTAGAGCTAATGGATTTTATTTACAGGCTTCTAAAATGAACATATTTTAGGTAGCTGGCAACATCTACATTTGAAAAGCATTGATCCTAAATCTGAGTTATTACAGTTCAGCTTTACTTTGTTCTAGCACACTTGGTGGAAATGAATTCAGAAAAGCTTTGATCATTTTCAAAATAAAGTTTTTTCTTATGCCCTTTAGTGATGTTTTGTAGAATGATGAATGCAAATAGTAAACACTTGATGTTTCTAGCTTTATTTGACCTACCTATGATATCACGGTGATCTCTTTTCTTCACATTGAATTAAAACAGTTTGATCTATTATATATGTTAATTTTTAGATTATTAAAATTATTGGTGAATGATTAATTTTTCTAAAACAAAAACACTTTTAAAGTTTAAAAAAAATTGATTTTATATTTTTTCAATAAAGAAAAAAAAAATTGATTCAATACAATGTTTACATTTTATTGAATTTATAGGAAATATAATTATTGGTCCTTATATTTTTAATGAGTTTTGGTACTAGCTCTTGTACTTTTTTTCGTTGCTCCAAATCTTATAAGTTTCATATGTATACAATGTTAGTCTTTATTATCGCTGACAAAGTTAAATCTATTGATAGATACATGACCTTGCTAATTTTGTTATTGAGTTAATTAAATTATGATAAGTTGAACATTATATGAGTAAAATGGCTATTAATATTTTTGCATGTCTTCCTTAGTTTTTGTGTTTTCTTTCTTTTAAAGTTTTATTCATTGCAAGTAAAATGATTACTTTCTCCGTTTACAAATACAAAGCATTTTTAACTGAATGATAAAATAGCAAATTGATCTTAAACTATAGATCTAGAAACATTTGAGACTCTAAATTTATTTTTTGTACAATATTACCCTTTAACTTTAAAAATTGTGCAGCATGACTCCTATTGTTGTAAAATATTAACTTTAACCTTTAGTTAACTAAAACATCACATAAAAAATTACAAAAAGTGACTACTAAAATTTTATTTTTAATGGTCATTTTTTGTAGCTTTTTATATTATTTTTATAATTTTTAGATCCTTTATTATAATTTTTCATCATTTTTGATAATTTTTGAAGTCTTTCCTATCATTATTTAGTCAACAAATGGTCAAAGTTAAATTTTATGAACAATAATAGTCAGATTATATCATTTTCAAAAGTTAAAGAAGAATATTATATCAAAATTGTTTTTAAGGTCCTAGATACTCTTGAACTTATAGTTCAAGGTCCAATTTATTCTTTTACCCTCAACCAAATTACACCAACTATAATTTAGTTAATTACCATTAAAATGATGCTATCTTTCAATGTTTATCTTTATTTAATAGAATGTCTTATTTAAAGGTAAGTGATTGAACATTTTATTTATTAAGAATGTTTTTGGAAAAAAAATTAGGAAAAAATAATTATTTAATTTTTGAAGCTTTGATTGTGTAACTCAATTTTTAAATTTTAATTCATTATAACTTGATTCTTATAATTTTGATTCTGTTGTAACTCACTCCCTCTAACTCAATCCTAGAGAGTTTTAAATATTTAAAATATTGATCCTTATATTTAAAAGATAAAATTGTAAAGATTAAAATTATGTTAAAATTTAGGATTAATATTTTAAATTACTAAACTCTTGTAATCTTTACAAAGATTAAAATTTTAAAATTTTTTAATCTTTAACATTTATTTTTTAAATATAAGAACTAATATTTAAATGATTAAAACTAAAAATTGAGTTGTAAGAGTCAAAGTTAAGGGACTGAGTTACATTCAAGTAAAAAAAATATAAGGACGGAGTTATAATAAGTTAAAATTCGAGGATTAAATTATAACTGAGTCAAAACTATAGAATTCAAATGATTAATTTTTTCAAAAATTTAATTACATATGAAAAATTAAAATTACTTTATATTTTAAATATTTAATCTCAAAAAATGTCTTGTATTTTTTAATAGGGGAGTATAATTTAATGTTCTCCTTATATTTTTGCCTTCTATTCAATTTTTTTACAACTCATTATAATTTTAATAAGTAAGCACAAGAAATAATAAATTTATACACGTTAACCACCGTTAAATTTTTATAGTTATATTTAAAATATGAGGACTTACATTATAATAGATGAAACTTAAAGGACCAGAAGCAATAAAAAAAAATGAATGGAAGCTAATACCCAAGACATGTTAAAAATATATAGACTAATAACTGTATTTTTCCTAAATTTTTTGCTGAAAATTCTATATGGATAAAAATTAGGGAGAATGATAGAGAAGCTCCAAAGAGATCAATTAATTCAACTTAAGTCTTAAATTTCAAACTCTAAGAATTTACAATTTTGACTCATAATTTGCAACTTTATTATGATGAATTTGTAATTTTTTTAAAATTTTAACACGGTTGGAAAAATAAATAAATGAAATACAGTTGTAGAAGTTATAGAAGTTACAAAATTAAGA